CCTGGAGCCTGCTTCGGATTCTGTGTCTCCGTCTCTCTCTGCCCCTCCCCTGCTCACATTCTGTCTCTCTCTCTCTCTCTCTCTCTCTCTCTCTCAAAAACAAATAAAGATTAGAAGGGGTGACAGTGCTTACTGAAGTTGACCTGCTGAATTAATAATATCACCTTCCTCAACTGGGAAAAAAAAACAACAAAACAACAAATTAATACTTTCAGAAAAACCCTTAGCCAGCTTTTACTTCCAGAGAATCATAAAAAAAAAAAAAAGCTCCATGGCTTTTTCTTAGCTTCGGGAAGGCAATTCCCTTGCCTAAAACATTCTAGGAAGCTTTGACAATATCATCTTCCATCGTACAGCATAGAAAACTTGCCCTTTTTTCTCCTTGGTCTTTGCATTAACATGATGATCTTCTGTTGATGTGATTAACGTTGTTGAGGTGGTGGTGGGAGTCTATCTTTTCTAGTACCTTCTCAAGGTACTGGATTAAGACTCGTCTTTTAAACCTAGAAATAAAGAGAAATTTTATTAACCAAAAGATACTCGAAGCCTTTCCAATGTGCAAGGCACTGTGCGGGGCACAAGGTGGAACTGGTCGTCTACATGCGGCTTAGCAGGGGCGCCTGGGTGGCTCAGTCGGTGGAGCATCCGGACTTCGGCTCAGGTCATGGTCTCGAGGCTCGTGCGCTTGAGCCCCGCGTCGGCTCTGTGCTGACAGCCTGGAGCGTGCTTCGGATTCTGTGTCTCCCTCTTTCTCTACCCCTCCCCTACTCATGCTCTGTCTCTCTCTGTCTCAATAGACATTCAAAAAAAATTTACCAAAAACAAACAAAAAAAGATGCGGCTTAGCAAATACTGACAGTGCCAGCTTGAGGGCCTGAGCCCACCTCAGGCTGTGGTGAGCTTAGAAGATCCCACAGACGTGGATGAATGAGTTGGACTCCGATAATACCAATCTCAATGCCTCTGGAGACAGCCTTAACTACGGGAGAGAGCCAGGGTTTGAGAAAACCAAGGGACAGTTCATTCCACCCCCCGCCCCCCATTCTGCATTGGGCCCTACCGCTTAACGACAAGCGGAGACGAAGGTCTCCACTTTACACCCACCTTGCAGCTTCCTTAATGGTAAACTCAACAAACTGTTTCTTGACTGCAAGAGACCCTTGCACTTCTTCAAGCAGAATGAAAATCCTTTCATACTCTGAAGATATTTAAAAAAAAAAAACACACCAAAACCTCAGTATTCTTAAAAAATACGAATAGGAAATAAAATTCAATCCTTACACATCCTCAGTAATCAATCCTCACAGGTGGAAAGTTATCATTTGTATTTTGAACACTCGAACCCAAACATCCGCGCATCAGCTACTAAGGAAACTCTTGTAAACACTGAACAAATGTGGCAGACTGAATAATGGCCCCCAACGTTGTCCACATCTTACCTCCTGGAACCTGTGAATATGTTGCCGTGTACGGCAAAAGGGACTTGACTTTGCAGATAGAATTGAGCTGTGGATCTTGAGATGGGGAGATTATCCAGGCTTATGCATCAGTGTGATCACAACTATCCAAATAATAAGAGGTGGGGAGTAGCATTGGAGCCAGAGAGAAAAGATGGAAGGACGGGAGCGTGGCTAGACAGGAGAGAAGGCCCTGACGTTACTGGCTCGAAGCTGAAGGAAGGGGCCAAGAGCTAAGGAGCACAGACAGCCTGTAGGAGCTGGAAAGGGCAAGGAGACAGATTCCCCCTAGAGTCTCCAGAAGGAACACCTTTCTGTTAGCCCAGTGCAAATCATTTCAGAATTCCGACTTCCACGACTGTAAGGGGAGTACAGTTTTGAGCCACGTGGTTTGTGGCAACTTGTTACGGCAGCCAAAGGAAACTATTACAATCAGTGAGGTGCAAAAAGGGAAAAGGGTGGATTGGGTCCTTTTAGTTAAAGCAAGAGGAATCACTTTAAATTATGTGAAAACCCAGGGTGCTGGGTGGCTCAACTGGTTGAGCGTCCAGCTTTGGCTCAGGCCATGATCTCATGGGTTCATGAGTTTGAGCCCCACGCACGTCAGGCTTTGCGCTGATGGTGCGGAGCCTGCTTCATTCAGATTCTCTGTCTCCCTCTCTCTCTCTCTGCCCCTCCCCTGCTCGTGCTCTCTCTCAATCTCTCTCAAAAACAAACATTAAAAAAATAATAATAAATTATGTGAAAACCCAATACTTCCCCAATACCTCCAGAGATAGCAGGAATCTATCGTGAATCATAGAATTATGAGAAGGACCCTCCCATTGTATTATTGATACTTGTGCTTTTGTTACTTACTTCGTCCAAATTTTCGAACTTCCTTCATTAACTGATGTTTTATATCAGCATTGATTCCTTGCGCCATAGCAGGAGTTATTTGCAAGGTGTTTGGTACAGTTCCCAAAGTGGGTGTCACCGAGGCTTTTCGATCATCTACAGAGGCACTGCAGTGTTTGCTTCCTCCTAGAAGTGCATGCGTACCAGGTTTGTGAATCAGGCCGTCTTTCCTTAGACTAGTGAAGTCGTCAGATAGAGAATCCAACTGGTGGTGGTGTGGAATACCATCTCCTGCCATATTCATAAGCTCTGGGGGAGCAGATTTTGACAAGAAGCCATCGGGTGGGATCTGACCATTTTCCCTCTTCTCCTCATGGACATCAGGAATGACAGTGACATCTGGAGGCCAAATCAAGAAGGTAAACTGTGAGGTGGGGGAGTTATATCAACCCCACAGGCAGATCTTCACGTTTGAGGAAATTATTTGTTTCAAAAAGCAAGAAGGTGTACAGATGGGAGGCTGAGACCCCTCAAACCGAGCCCAGGAAAATAATACAACAAAACCACCTTCCTTTCTTCACGGCACTCCCAATACATATGGAAACCGAGTCGGGCAAGACAACTACTGAGCGTTCTCAGGTCCCTGGCACCCGTGGTTTAGTGGCTGCTTGTGCTTTACAAGCTGAAAGGCAGCAAGTCTCACTTGATGTCATGATTTCTGTAATTTACATATAAAATGCCATGCTTAAGAAAATAAAGAAAATGCCAGGCTTCACCGAGCTTGGCACCAGACTACATGGGCCCCCTTCAATTTCTCTCCTCTCTATCTCAAAAGTTCTAAGAAAACAGAGGTGGCCGTTAGGCCTCGAGGGTCTACATGTAGTCTGTCACCAAAAATCTTTGTATGTGATTCTCATCATTCCCTTGTGTGACAAGGAAATGGGTTTCCTTTTACTCCAGGCCTGACACCTCTACCTCATATGCTCTGCCTCCTTCCTGCCAGGCACTGAGACAAAGCCGGAGGATCGGCAGTGAACGAGACAGACAAGAACAATCCCTATCCTTACGGAACTTACATCCTCATGGGGAAGTCAGATGGTATGTGTAATTTGGGCAAGGGGAATAATACAGTTTGAATTCTTGTTGGGAAGGAAGGTATCAGGGATGTGACAGAGAGCAGGAGGGGGAGTCTCCGTGACCCCGGGGTCGGGCAGGGCCCTGAGGTGAGCCGTGGAGCAGGAGACAGGGCGGCCTGTGCACGTGAGGAGGACTTCTGGCTGCCGTGAGGGCCAGTGCAGCGCCCTAGGAGGGGACGAGCCGGGGCCGTGGAGCAAAGGACAGAGGCAGAGAGAACAAGGAGGACACCCAGAGGACGCGTGCAGGAGAGGAGGGCAGGCCCGGGTCCTGCAGAGCGTGTAGACCAGCGTCGGAAGCTCCGATTCTGTTCTGAGTGCTCGGGGGAGTTGGTGGCGGGTTTCGCGATGGACGTGGCAGGATCAGATTTCCGTGCGCACGGGGTCAGTCGGGCTGCAGGGCGGTGATGGGTCAGGAGGGTCAGGTGGGAGAGCAGGGAAATCAGATGAGAAGTTGTTGTAGCAGCTTGGGGACAGACGGTGGCAGCACAGACTAGAGGGATAGAGACACAGGGTGATCCAGGAATCGGACTGGGTGTCAAAGTGTCTGCACTTGCTAAGGGATGGAAGTGAGAGAAGAGTAAAAGAGAAATCATGGTGACTCCAAGGATCTTCACTGAACCCCTGGGGAAATAATGGTGCCAGGAGTGTGCTCCTCCTGATCTGGCCCAGTGACCTCATGTTGATGGCCTGACAGCGATCACGTTGGCATCCTTTACACTGTGGAAACCTGCAAACATTATAATCCAGGGCTTCACCGCCCCCCCGGCCCCCACACACTCGGACAGCTGGCTGTCGCACCTTTACCAGCATACTGCCGGATGGTGTCACTTAACATTAAGAGTCATGCCTGCGGCAGGCGGTAAGCAGAGCTGTTTTGGAGAGCGCGAAGGTTAGGAGTTCTGATGAAACACGTGAAACCGAATTTTATTGGTCTATGGGGCACCTAAGTGGAAATACCATGTCCATGGTTAAATTTAGGTCTGGAGTTTGAAGCAAGGTGTAAACACCCAAGTTGTTGACATGTAAATGTCCTGGAAAGCCCAAGACTGCATGGGATCACCTGGGGTGGGGGGGGGGTGGTGTCTGGAATCCAGATTTGGGTCCCTACGCTATTTACAGGTGGGAGAGAAGGGGAGAAACCAGAAAAAGAGGGTGAAGAGGAGTTGCCATCAAAGGGAAAAGAAAACTAGGATGTGTGGTGTCTGGGAACCTGAGAAAGTTTCCAGGGAGGAGGGAGTGAACAACTGTGACAAGTGACGCGAAGAAGCAACGGCAACACGCAACAGACCCTGGGGGCCGTGATGACGCCTGTCTCAGTGCGGTGGGGAGGCAGAGCCAGACCGCACTGGGCTAGAGCGGGAGCAGGAGTTGAGGACACAGAGAGCCAGTGCAGACCCAGCCTCGTATTAAGCTGGTTCGCTCTTGCTGCGTCGAGAACCTGCTTCCTCGTTCTGACTCACGCAGCAACACGCTCCTATCCCCATGTCTCCCCCTTGTGCTAGTTACTACATAAGTATGGATCTTCTCGCCTCAGACAGTGACTCTGCTCCCCACGGGGCCCTTTGTACCTACCACATTGATGATTTAATAATGGTTTACTTAACGAACAAAAAGCGGATACAAAGGAAATGAACACAAAGGAAAATAAGGCTGTTTAGTGTTAGTCTTCTAGGAGCCATAAGGAAATCACAACCACTACTCTATACCTGTATGTACAAGGGTGGGTTTTATGAGGTTTGGATAAGATGGGAACCACGAGGCTGAGGGTGGTCCCTTTCCGCCCACATGGTTAGTTACAGTGGGTGGTGTTTGTGGTTTCGCCAACAGCAGGGACATACTCCGCCTTCTCTTAGATGACAGAGGACTGTTGGGTTCTCCGGGGCGCTTCACTTTGTTCTGTGGCCCTGCCACGAATTCATCTGCTTCATCAATCATCATTCCCTAGAAAACACCAATGAACACTCTCCATTAAAGAGCACAGCGCCCGCACGCGGCACGCGCACACTCAACCATACATCCTGTTACCAACACACGTCTTCATCACGGGCCAGAGATTTACCGTGCCCCACCTAGACCCTGTTCTCAGAAAGTGCTGCTCCAGTCCAATCTTGACCTAGTCTCGGTGGAACAAGGAGGAGATGAAAAGATAATGTGTTGCCAAGGTCAAACACAATACAATCATGATTAATCAGAAAGCTTGAGAAATGAGCAACTCGCATCAACCGAAGAGGTTACTTTTCGGAAGAAGTACAGACCATTCGGAAGCGACCCTTGGCAAGTGAACCAATTCCCTTTTGTGTGCTTTTGTGCTTTAAATGCATCATTAAGAAATATTGACTATCACTGTACAGAACGCTGCATGTGGACGGTAGAGAGCAGGTTGACAGAAAATGTCACTGCCCCAACAGCAACCTCACGGATGTTCAAATATGTCCACCTTGGGGGCTTTTCATTCTTGGGGGTAGGCAAAGGATGACAGCCAGCAGTGCAGAGGGTTAGCTAAAAGCTGTTCCCGTCCAAGGATAACCCGAGAATATGAAAATATTTTCATAAAATCATGATAAAAGACTCTTCCAAGGCATTTTCCAAAGCAACACGGTACAGAAAGGGGAAACCATACACCCTGAGCATTTACTGCATGTAGGTCATGTTTGAAATGGGTACATGCACTAACTCAATACTGCACAGGACTCTGGTAAGTGTAATCATTATCCCCAGGGGTTCAAATGAGGAGCCCAAGGCACAGAAAGATTAAGAAAAAGTCCAATTAATTGAGGATTGGGGTGAAGTGGAATATCTCTCAGTCTAGTTTTGTTACCAGACAGATTATTATATGGTCTGCAGCTTAACACCAATAGTCTTCTCCATGTGTGCAAAGAGAATCCCCATTTGTCTTCATCCTTAGATGGTCAAATCGGCATCTCTCTCTCTCTCTCTCTCTCTCTCTCTCTCACACACACACACACAAACACACACACACACACACACACACACACACACACACACACACACACCTCACATTTAGATCTCTACTAGGACAATCCAAAGAAAGCAGCATCACGTAGTACTTCCTATTTCAAGATGAACACTGCATCACCGTCTGGCTAGAGCACTAGAGATCCGAGTAATGGAAACAGGAAATAACTGGTGATCTCAATATTAAAGGAATTAGTGTGCAGAGGTGGGAATGAATACGGACTCTGGAGCTGGAAAGATGTGGGTTCAAATCCTGGCTCTTCTCAGCTGTGCTACTCAGAGCACACCACTTGACCACTGTGAGCCTTGATTTCTTCTTATGAGAGGACAAATGGTAACACTCATCTGCAGAACCGTTGTGGCCATTAAATGTGATCGCGTAAAACAACAACTCCTACTAGGTACTCAGTAAATGTCACTTATTCTTTTCTTCAAGCAACACACCTTTGTATCAGGAGGCTCCCACTTTCCATTTATGGAGAGCCCTGGAGTCCTATTTTATCTTGTCAACCAACAGAGGGAGAACCTCTGATTTATATTCACCTTGCCCAGAAGAAAGGAATTATAGCAAGACTATCACAACTTGGGCAGACTTAGAAATAGGTATCTTACCTTCTTATCTTGTTTGAATGGATTGCCAAAAGTATGTAGTCTTTTTGGTTGATCTGGATCAATCTCTCGAAGCGGAGAAGCCAGCGTCTTTAGATATTCCTGATAGTTACCCATTTGTGCGACTGGAACACTATGAAGGGAATCTGTAAAACCACCGGCAAAGAAACAAATGGTACACAGCTGCAGTGTATGCATCATGAGGACAAGGGGACACGATCAGGGGCTCAGTAGGTTGAGCATCCTATTCTTGATTTCGGCTCAGGTCATGATCTCACGGTTTGTGGGATCGAGCCCCGTGTCAGGCTCTGCGCTGACAGCATGGAGCCTGCTTGGGATTCTCTCTCCCTCTCTCTCTGCCCCGCCCCTGCTCACATGTGTGCATGTGTGCTAAATAAATAAATAAATAAATAAATAAATAAATAAATAAATAAAACTTTAAGAGGGCATGATCATAGTCTGGTTTGGCAACGTGTACCTTGGCATCCAATAGTCTAAAATCTCAACTTTTGGGGGCACCTGGGTGGCTCAGTGGGTTAAGCATCTGACTTCAGCTCAGGTCATGATCTCACGGTTCATGGGTTGGAGCCCTGCGTCAGGCTCTGTGCTGA